ATGCTATGTGTGATAGAACTATTGGGGACTGGCGGTGGCTGAAAAGATAAGAAGTATGAAATATAAATGACGTTTATTTTGAGAATGCAGGGAGAGACACCTCTGATCCCCTGGGGTGTGTCATCTCCCCCCCAGGGTTGGCGATTGCTCCATGGAACACGTGGAATGGAGGCATATAAGTAGCCTAGGTTTGTGGTGGAACCTAAGGATGCATTAGTGATCCACATGTAGCCCATTGGTATTCTTTTGGAGCCATAAGTAAATTCCTAGGGGTGGGGGAGATGGAGCCCCTTGGTTCTGCCTGAGGCTTTACCTGCTACAGTGTCCTGTCTGGGCCAAAACTCTTTTATATCCTGTCTTATGATTATTATTATGAAAAGGGGCAAAGGTTTCTCTCTTTAACTGTTTCCTGCTCAAAGAGGGCACTGTACTGTGGTCTAGGGGAGTTGACAGGATGACAGTTGATGCCCAGGTAGAAGCTGGTGCCAGGTGTTTTAGCCAGGACAACTTCACTGGTGAATGCACGTATGTTAGACTGGAAAAACAAAGAGACAAGATGATATCAGGAGGCATGGCACTGTCATATTTAAGGACCCAGGTGAGGTAAAAGGAAAGGTGCCTTTGATTTAGACATGTCATTATATCAGGACCATGTTGAGGTAGGATCATTGTCACCATGAGGTAGAATTCTGAAAAATAAGTGTGGGGTTAGGAGGAGTCAAGTTATGAGAGGTGATTACTCCCCCATCTGAAAGCATAAAATTTAAGAGGGTAGGTGGGTAAAACTTGTCTCTGGTATGGATGACATTGAAGTCTTTAGGAAATACTGTTAGGAGTCCTGTTGTGAAAAGAATAAGAAATTAAAAACCAAATTGGATAACAAAACATGACAGCCTGAGAGTTGTGGCTTTGGGGCCTTGGTAAGGCAGAGATGAGTAAGCAAAATGATGGTGAGATTTAGGGCTGAGTGATGTGAAATCAGGATGGCAGTCTAGCAACTCTGATCACTGTTAAGGTTGCCAAGAATATCAGGTATGGATCAGTGTAACCTGGTAGTCCTTGGAATGATTTGCTGTAACAGAACTATAGCAAGTATATCAGCAGTCTGCCTGGTTGTGTGAAAGGCTTCTTTGTATCCTGAAAAAGTATAAACAAAGTGAGAAGGCAAAATTTATCTGTCAGTGTTGACCAGGGTTGCCTGAGAAATTGGTGAATAAGAAAGGAAGGAGGTGGTCTTTCTGGACTCTGCACAAAATAGTCCCTGTTTGTAAATGGCATAGGTTAATCTTTAATACCCCATAGAAATTTGAGGACTTAATATACTGTCCTGAAAACTGAGAAAGAACTCTGTACATATGGCCTCTATGTCCATAAATTTAGAGAATGTCTTACCTGAGAGTTTTAGTGGGACTTGGACTCAGATGGACACCCATAAAGGGGGCTGTTGTTTGCCCTGAGCCCCATCAGTCTTTGGCAGCAAGTTTAAGCAGATCTGTCAGTGATGAATCTGGCAGTGTTGCCATTTCCTGTGAGGCTAGAAGTTAGGATGGCTTACCCACTCTCTGGTGACTAGGACAGTCCCGTAGCCCTGGGGTAAGGTCTCAAAGAACGCCAGGATGGGGCACTCTCTTGCCCAATGTCTTCTGCTGCATTTGAGGCATGGTCCATGGCAGGGGGCGGCCAGGCAGCTCCACCTTGTGTTGGTTTACCTATCTTAGAACTCCAAGTGTCACAAGTGTTAGCTCTGTTGTTGAAAACATGAAAAGCCATATTAAGGTCTCTGTGAGGTTTGAAGGTCAAGCTTTGCCTTTTTGTTTGGGATTTGGCCTACAGTAGAAGAAGGTATCTATAGAATTAAGTAAGTATTCAGGAGTCAAATATAATCAACAGAGTATTCATAATTTTAGTAATGACTTCCCATAAGGAGGACAGGTCCAGAGAATTTTAGGAACTAACATGTTATTTATGTCATATATATAAGTATCTCTTTATGTTATTAAAATGTCTAATGCCATCTGATTTTTGGAGGATGGCCTGTTTAATTAATTTTTTCTCTTTTTATTTAGGAGAGAAATGAGCTACAGTGTTATTTAATATCAGTTGAATATAGTTAATTATGACTCAGAGAAATCAGCTATGATGTTATTTAATATCAGTTGAATATAGTTAATTATAGCTCAGAGAAATCAGCTACGGTGTTATTTAGTATCAGTTGAATACAGTTAATTTTGGCTTGGTGGAAGTCTGAGCCAGGGCAGGCAGATAGGCTGGGAAAAGTTTTAAGTTTGGCTTCTGCCACAGTGTCAGTTTTGCTGTTTTGCATATGTCATACAACCCTTGTCTTGGAAAAGATCTAGTGGTTCCCAGCAAAAGGAATTTATAGTTATTTTTTTTAATTTTACTTGTTAAACATCTCTAAGCGTATATTTGGATCTGAAAGAAAACATTTGTCATGGCTGGAACACAATAAAAAGGCAGCAGAAACAATCTGAATTTTATATCTGAAAACACAAACGGCATCAGATCAGCAATATAATGAGTTATCTGTTGCGCCTGTCTGCGCTGGCAGACAGAGCCATGCTTGAGCTTGGGGGCACGGACTGGCCTGGCATGCAAAGAGCACGCCCAGTGTGGGGGAGGGGCATGCAGAGTGAAGGCGGGGTGAGCGCTGGGACATAGCATGCAGGGTGGGCTGGGCCTGCCCCCGGAAACATGCACAGGGCGGCAGAGGCGAAGGTGCACGGGGGCGGAGCTGGGAGGTGGAGTTGGGACTCCCCATGAAGCTGGGACTGCTCCCAGAGGCGCAGCTGGTAGCCGACCAATATGGCACTGAGCTGCCACATGGAGGAACCGCTCGCAGGATGCACGGATTAGGGTGCGGTGTTAGAGCCGAACCCATGTGGACCTGAAGCATGGCATGAGAGCCGAGATATCATGTGGAGTTGGGGCACGGTGTGAAAGCCTAAAGCAGTAGTATCTCCCAACACTGTTGGGGCTGGAGTGTGCTTGAGAGGTTAAAGCAGCCTGTGCATCTCTCAACACTGTTTGGGCTGGAGCACTTGAGAGCTTAAAGTAGCTGCACATATCTCTCAACACTGTTTGGGCACACCTCCCCCATCTCAGTGGGGAATGGGTGGGCGCGCGGTGGGGGTGAGGGGAGGGGAAGCAGGGAGGAAATGAGATGCTGAGAAAGCTCTGAAAGGCTGCAGAGAAAGACGCTATTATCTCTTTAAGTGTGGGGGAGGGGGAGGGATCCTGGAAGAGTGGGAAAGGACGCACATTCCCAAAACAAAGGCTTAAAGAGAGAGTTTTGTAAACTTGTCATCAGTGTGATAAGCCACGTATATAGGTATGGTTTGTTTTTTTGGGGGGGGGCAGGAAGTGGTCCTCAAGATAAAATCTGGTGTGGGGCTCTGGCCCACGGAGTTATAGCCAGATGAGGCAATGGACCTTGGTCTGCTAAGTTTAAAGTCGTCACTTTTTACTCTAGACCGATCAGTGTTACATGGTTCCAGAACTCATAACAATTGGCTGTCACCAGTATATGAGTGGATTTCATGTGGGTTTAGTAACAACTCTGCCCTGAGTACTTAAAAAGCTCTGAAGGATGTGAGAATCTTTCAGTGTGGACACAGGCTGGCCCAGGAAGACTCTGCCTTGGGCTATCTGAACCCAAAGTACGTGAGAGTCTTCCAGTGTGGACACAGGTTGGCACAGAAAGACTCTGCCTTGGGCTATCTAAGGATGTGAGAGTGTCACGTGAACCCATGGAAAGGGGGAGAAAACCCGCCTGGGGCCTGGCCTAGTGGCAATCTCCGGGGAGTTGCTGAGCTGTGGTAAATTGGGTCGGTGTTGTTTGTGAGCCAGCAGCGACAAGTTTACAGCTCCCGAGTGTAGAAGTGAGGAATTAATGCAGGATGCAGTCTGGTCCAGGTCCTGAACAGCAGGAGACTTAAACTGGGAGGGCCCAGGAGTCTCTTGTCTGCCGTTCCCAGTCAGGGAACCATATGACAGAACTGTGGGGGACCGGTGGCAGCTGAAAAGATAAGAAGTATGAAATATAAATGATCTTTATTTTGAGAATGTGGGGAGAGACACCACCGATCCCCTGGTGTGTGGCATTTCCCCCTGGGGTCGGCGATCGCTCCAAGGACCACGTGGAGTTGAGACATATAAGTAGCCTAGGTTTTGGGTGGAGGCTAAGGGGGCATTAGTGATGCACAAGTAGCCCATTGGTATTCTTTTGGCGCCATAGGTAAATTCCTAGGGGTGGGGGAGGTGGAGCTCCTTGGTTCTGCCTGAGGCTTTATCAGCTACAGTGTCCTGTTTGGCCCAAAACTGTTTCAATGTTTTTATTTTAAAAGGGGTAAAGTTAAACACAGCAAAACGAACAAAATAGGACATAAGAAAGCAGTGTAAGAAAGCAGTGTATAAATTTCAAAGTTAGACAACTTGAGATCTTCACTATCTATCATATTGTCTCTTGTTTTCTTCCAAATAGTTATCCATGTCTTTGCATACAGAGAATTCATACAAAACAACGTAGTATGAAACTGATCAAACAGAATGAGGAAGGTGTTCTAGGTCTTCAAAACCAGACAATAGGGAAGTCACTAATGGTTGTTGTAGAGTCTCTCATTCTCTTCAAAGTAGCTATCCATACTTTCATGTATATTGAAGCTCAACAAAACAAAACAGGCTAACACCATTAATTAGAACAAAGCAAAACAGGGATAAAAGTATTTGCCTTCAAAGAGAAGGTAGAAGGAAATCCCCCCTATTTGCTACACTGGCTATAGTCAACCTCTCAAGGGATGTCCAGAGCACTGGCTCCCACTTGTTAACAGGGGCCTGGCGGGGGGATATGTGATGTTTGATTCTCAGCCCTCACAGCTGCTCACCAGCGGGAAGGGATTGCTTGGTTTCTCAGCGCTCCAGCTCCTACCATGGCATGGGTCCCAATAAAACCTGGTGGCTCCCATCCAGGAGGGGTTGCTTCCAGTTGTTTCTTTCTAATGAATTAACCATTTCCCTGCCCAAGATCTAAAATAGCCAACAGAGTATTGAAAGACATCTCTTTAGGCTCCTGCTAGAAACCAACAGCATCGGGAAGTTGCAGGCCTTGATTCAGGCTAGTTGATGCTATTTGAAGAGGGATTGTTTTTGCAGTTTCATTTTCACATGGCTACACTTGAACTTTGGATCCTATTCTTTCAATTTCCTGAGATTACTGGTGTGTGTGCTCGACTCTAATAATTTGTGTTTTATTGTTGACAAATTCAGCTGTTCCTAACCATTTCCATCAGTGTATCAGTATATTGCTATTGATCCATATTACACCTGAGTATGTTACACACATTAACAAAGAAGTATAACTTTATGTATTTGTTTTCAATTGTATAGGGGTACAAATGAGGAATAACAAAACAAAAACTGTATGGTGCTTACTTTTACATTTGCCTCAGTTCTTACCTTGTCCAGTGTTATTTCATCAGTGGTTCCTAGTCACTGTTTAATGTAATTTCATTTCATCCTGCAGAGTTCCTTCTGTAACATATTGCAAGGCAGGCAGGTAAGCTGATAATGAAATCCCTCAAGATTTGTTTCACTAGCAGTTTCTTGACCTCTCCTTCATTTGTGAATGGATATTTTGGTACATAGAGAAAATTTGGTTGATAGTCTATTTATTGTACTTTCGGTACTTAAATACGTCATCATGTAGTCTTTGATTGCCATCCTTAGTGGTGAGAACCTAGTTGTTACTCTGGCATTTCCCCACATGAGATGAGTCACTTACTACATTCAAAATTCTTACTGCATTTCCTCTTAGCCCCAATTAGCCAGGTGTATCCCCTCCCACTGTAAGCCCCAGGCCACTGGGCTCGCAACTACTGGACTACAATTCCCAAAGGGCACTGTGCACCCTAGCGGACTACATGTCCCAGAGGACTCGTCCCAGGGTGCAGGCTGAGGTAAAATCCCGTCTTGAGAGGCTTCCCCTCAGCATCCTTCTAGTGCAGCCCCACAGCTTGGGTCTCTGAGCACCACCCTCATCTAGGAAAAGGCGACCTAGCAAGAAGTGGCCTAGCAAGAAGCGTCAACCCAGGAGATGGTGAGAAGGTGGGCAGTGGCTTCAGCCTCTTAGGCCTAGCTTAGTCCCTAGGTCCAGGAACTTTCTTCCACTATCCTACAAACCGCCATCCTACATGGTATTCATTTTTCTGAAACAGAAAGGAAATGTACCCTGAACAATGCATCTCCGCTGTCAAAAACGCTGTTTTACATAAAGGAGTGTATTTTTACTCACGGAGCATGCAGTTTAGGAAACATTTTCAAAGCTGGCGTGGTGGCACTCATACACAGTACTCGTGTCCAAGATAGACAAGATTAGTGCTGTGAGTTCAAGGCCAGCCTGAGCCATACAGGGAGACCCTCTCTCCAAAACCATTAAATTAAAAAGAAAGTCTCATGACTCACCGTATTGTCTTTGTGTTGAAGGTGGAAGGCACAGCTGTGAGGAGGGAGCTTGCAGGGCACTGTGGTCTGCAGAAGAGAGTAGGACAGAGAAACCAGGGCAGTGGTTGTGGCAGGAGGCCTGTGTGTCCATGAGGGAACTTTGGAAAGAGCTGGCCCAAACTGGAATTGTGCCAGCGACCTGCCCAACACCCACAGCTACCTGCATGAGGTGTGTGGCCCAGAATGAAATACAAGACAAAATCAGGAATGCATAAGGGGGACTGTGAGGTCATTGTTTAGTATGTTTTCAGAGGTGGCCAGACCAATTATAGATAGGGTAGGGGAGTTCTGTAAAATCCAGGAAACACACAGTGACACTGAAGGCCTTACTGTCACTACACTTTTAATTTGATCTCCCATCTAAAAGTCTGTGGTCTCTAGAAAACTCATTTGTGTTTGATGCTTGGTGTCTATCGCATGCTTTATCTATTAAGCCTGGTCTGTCGTTGGTTTTTCTCCAATTACGTATAAAGTGAGCTGTGTGGATGGTGGGAGGGAGGACGGCAGAGGAGACAGCCACACTGGCGGTGAGCATTACTAGAGAAGCTATAGGAGGACTGATGGGCCAATCAGTTCTTTAGTTCTGTGTACAAGGTGACTGTCTAGGTGCTGTCAAATATGCCACATCAGAGTGTGAGATCAAGGTTCAGTTAGATTGGGGTTGGGGATTTAGCTCAGCGGCATAAGCGCCTGCCTTGAAAGCAGGCAGTCGTGAGTTCGATCCCTGGTACCGATAAAAACGAAAAAGACAAAAAAAAAAAAAAAAAAAAAAAAAAAAAAGGTTCAGTTAGATTAAGTTATATCTACACTCCTGGCAGATCTCCAAGAACCATTAAAACACCTACCAGTAACTGTTCTTGCATGAGTATATGCAATTGACTTAATGTATGTAAGGGAATTTTTATTCTTTTTTTGCATAAAAAATCACTTCAGGCTGGGGATTTAGCTTAGATGTGCCTGCCTGGCAAGTGCAAGATTGTGAGTGAGATCCCTAGTACAAAACAAAGTAACTGCTTTCATTGCGGTGATCCTAAATATTACCTATGAAGTACAGTGTCTTGAGCAAGTCAGCATTAGAGACTGAATTGGAGGAAACCTGAGTTTACAGCTCACTCTCTGATACAGCAGCTTCAAAGAACTCTTTAAAATTAAAATTTCAACATATTAAACATTGTGTTCCTCAGTCACACATTTCCCCTTAGGCCTCCCCAAACCATATGCAGTGCTGAAATGTCACAGGGGCCAGCATTAATTATATTGGACAGTGCTAATAAGGAACAATTCCAATATTCTAAAATGACAGTTTATTAGAATCTCTTGGTGTAGTTGGTCTCTGGAATGTGGAATGGCCACCTGTGGAATTTGTTCTGTTTGCATTTCAGGCTGACAAGGGCTGAATACACCAGGACAAAGATTCACATGACTTTTTCGAGTTATGAATCAGCCTTGTATTACAGACTCATTTCCCCACACTGAGATCACCACAGGCAGATGATCCTTACTACTGGGGCCTGTAGGAACATTGTGAGTCTTCCTCATCACAAGCACACCATCAAGGATTTTTCCATACATCATGCTTCCCATCCAGCAGTGCCACTTGGAGCGGGTGATAAAGAGCTGACAGCCATTTGTACTGGGACCACTGTTTGCCATGGAAAGTAGCCCAGGAGCTGAGGTTCCGAGTCTCGGATTTTCACCTGCAAATGGGCTCTTGTAAATACTGGCAACTCCAGTACCATCTCCATTAACAAAATCTTCACCCTGAATCATGAAATCCTTTATGCCCCTCTGGCAAGTACTTTCTTTATACCCTCGTGGAGCCCCATCTTTTGTGAATTCTCCAGTGCAGAACTCCTGAAGTTCTTGGCTGTCTTCAGCATGACATTTTTAAACATTTCTATCTTTATGCAGCCAACTCTGTGGCCACCGACGCTGACATGAAAGAACAACACAGGGCTTATGGGGACTATATTAGCCATTGCCATGGCTCTGACCCAGAAACACAAGCCCAGAGACGCTTTATTCTAGATTGTAGTTCTGTAACAGGGATATGTAAGGACTGTAAAAACATATTGAAACTTTCAGGCTGCCACTCTGTTCAGCCACCATATTAATAGTGTCCTTGGTGGGGCACATATTATGATCATCTATTTGACCCCCACAATATAAGGCAGGGCAAGGTTCCACACAGTAGTTCGTTGAGCCCCAGGTTTGCCATATTCAAAGCCTGGGAATGGGTGTGCTAAATCCCTCAGCTTATTGGGAAAGTTCTCCTCTAGAGAGAGTCTGTATGGGTGTCAGTGCAGTTGAGCAGGAGTGTATTTACTTTCTGTTCATGGATTTAACATATGTGCTGTAAAAGCAGCAGGGACAAATGGTGCTTGAAGGGGAGTTTCTACATCGGACTGGAGTGAAAAACATGGCCAGCACTGTCTCAAACAGGCTGTGGTCTCAGTTTATAACTTGTGGTCCCCAATAGAAATGTGCCTGTTTCCAAGGGAGCAGGCTGCTTTCTCTCCCTCTGCCAGCTCACTAGTCTCTGGCTGTGATCTCCTGCAGAGGCTGTCTCCGTTTCTTTCCTTCCCCTGAACACATTGCTGTATAACCAGAAATGAAAGAAGACATCTGTCTCGGTTACTCTCTCATTGAGATAAAATACCTGATGCCCAAAGTTAGGGAAAGGAAAGTTTATTTCTCACAGGTTGGAGGTTTCAGTCCATACTCAGCTGGCTCCAAGCTGCAAGGTGGCATAGTGGGGCTGCCATAAACAGCAAGAGGGAACCAGCAAGAAAGAGAAGACACACATTCTTCCGGCCATTACACTGTACGCTGGCTCCACCCTGGGCGAATGTAGCACTCATACCACCAAACTGAACACCAAACAATGAGCAAATCATAAATGCTAAGTTTGGCCAGGTCCATGAGTGTCTGAGGCTTGGTGGCAGTTGGGGATGCTGACATATAAACTGTAACAACAGGATTCTTTACCTCACAGCTTTTAGAGAATTGAGTGCACAACCTGCTGTGTGCCATGCAGGAAAATCCTGCTGGAAGGGTTTGCTGAGAAAAGTTGCTTGCATCGAGGCAGCGGGGAAGCACAGACAGAGGAGAAGAGCCAGGAAGGGACACATGTACTGTGCTAGGTCACAATGCCAGTTTTCACTCTTCCCAAGGCCTCACGTGCTGACAGCACATTTCATTGTGGATTCTTATGTGCATTACTCCACTGATGAGCACCCCATGATCCCATCACCTTCCAAAACCCAACCTGTGAATACTTGAGACGTTTGGGAACATTCTAGATCTGAGGCATAAAAATGGCTGTCGAGGGTGCAGTGCAATACAGTGCTGCAAAGTTGAGGGGGAGCGAGCCAGGGGCCCGTGGCAGAGCTCTGTCTCCTCCAGGAGGGAGAAACAGGTCTAGGTGGCACCACAGCTGATGGTCCCTGCTCTGTGACTGATCACAGATTGCTGTGGGAATCATGGTGGGTGCAGGCCATCGTGGCCAGGACTTAGAATTGAGAAGCGGAGCTGGAGGTGTCTCTGTCTCCTGATGCCAGGTGAAAGGGGAGTTGTCTTCCCAGGGTGTCATCACCTGTGTGATAGGTGAAGAGCAACATTCAGGTCTGATATGGGCCTCGTCAGGTGTCAGTGCTAAAACCACTCCCCCCAGTGTTTGGAGAAAGTGAACCAGTGGAGAGGCTGCAACAGGGAAGAAAGAGGCTGTCACTGAAGCATTTTGATGTGTTTTAGGAATACTGGATCATTTTTGCAGAAATGTTTCTTGTCCCCAATTTAGGCTCCTGCTCTGTGAGATCTGTGAGCCCCACGTTGGTCTGTCCCTGGGGGATCCAGCACTGTGCATTGTCACCAAAATTAGATGTTATTGGAGTTCTGTAACAGTGCAGTGTGCTTGACACATAACATGTGCAGCACATGTTAATTCCAGTGAATCCAGATCTCTACCTCTGTGTGAGTTTTTCCCTCGAGGAGGGAGAGTAGGGCTGCAGGAATAGGTAGGGTAGAGGGCATGGGTACCTAGGTGGGATTTGAGCATAATTCTAGCTCAGAGGGCATCAGCAAGATGTGAGCATTGTGAAGAGCAGAGGTCTGCTCTCTGGAAAGGAGGTTTCCTTAAACTGTGGGCCTTTGTGCTCTGTCTACCGAGCAGATTCTCTCCTATGAACCAGAGTGGTAGTAACAGACACAGCTGTCTCTCTGTTAGGTGGGTAGTGTCTGTGTGACTTGCCCAGTGCTGCCATAGCACGCAGAGCAGGCTGTGCTCCCAGCTGCCCTGAAAGAGCAAGGGTGAAAGGGGAGGAGGACGGAAAGTTGGGCTCCTGACCCTGTACTGTGCTTTTCACTGTGACTGAGCTACAGAGGGTTTCCCACTTCGGCTTTTGGTTAAAAACCAAGGGATCCAGTGGGCTAGTGTCTGTGCTCTGGCCCAGGGGCTGTGTGGTGGATTTTAGATTTGAAGTAGCTTAGGAGGTCCAATGCTGAAACGCATGGATCCTAACTATTTCAGAAAGTCAGTGCTGCAGTCTGCAGGGCTGGAATGGGCAGTGACGGGTGTTGGCCATGAGGCTGAGCTCAGACTTCTCCCCTCTGTTCTTCACCATTCGATGAGGTTGTGGGCTTATGAGTGCTATGAACCATGTCATTACTGATAGTGACCACCTGGCCAAGGTGTAGGGGAAAGAGAAAAGCCTGTTATGTCCCAATCAGTCATGCTGCTGACTGAGGTGCACCAAATTTAAACAGGGATGGTGGGCTGAGGAACCGCTGCCTAGGAGTGTTGGGGGCACTATGATTTTCGTCCACTGGTGCAGTGCATACTACACGTGCTGCTTGGATGTGGGGAGAAACTGCACCGAAACACCGTCTGAGGAGTCCAGGAGCTGCAGGTGTGGCCAGAGTCAGGGCCCCTGAGCATGACCTGCTCCTCCTATGACTATGAACTGTTTCTGGCCTGGAAACCCCTGCCCAACCTCCTGTTGTGCCCTAAAAGTCTCTTTGCTCAACCCACTCGCCTCCCCTTCTCTAGCCAGGGGGCCTCCTATGTATCTAGTGTGACACACACTCACTGGACACCCATGGGATTTGCATCGTTATTTGTTAAATTATTTTTAAGTTGACTGGGCTTCTCAGAGGAATCTGCAGATGAGGCTTTCAAAGAAGAAGCTTGCAAGAAGAGCACAGGCTCCTCCATGGAAGGTCGAACAGAATGTGAGTTGAAATGAGGAGTCAAGAAGTTTACATCTGGCTGGGTGTGGTGGCTCACACCCATAATCCCAGCCATCAGAAGGCTAAGACAAGACAATCTTTGCAATTTTGAGACCAGCCTGGTCTACAAAGTGAGCTCGAGCCAACCTGAACTACATAGTGAGAGCGTGTACGAAAAGAAAAAAGAAAAAAAATCTTACATCTGTCCCAGCAAGCCATCGCTTAAATCAGAGGTAAAAGTAACCTGAACTGCCGTGGCTGTGTGACGAGACTCACAAAATCATCTCCTAAGGGAAAAAACCCTGTGGTGCTTATGGAGGAGGCCTGATGTGAGCACGGCTCAGGGCTGAGACCCTTCATTGGTAGTATGAGAACAGGTCCTAGTTTCTGTCCTCGAGGGTGGTGCGGTTGAGGTTCCCCATGTGTGAGTGCGCTTCTGTGCTTCGCTTGGTAAATAGGCACACATTGATCTGTCTTTCTGTGGCCTGCTCAGAGAGGCCACAAAGCAACTGAACCTGCTGGAGGTGGTTTTGAGAATCCTTGGACAACACTTAATCCCTGTTGGGCAGCAACATTCTCTACAGAGTGTGCAAAAGAGTCTTACCGCAGTGTGACAAGCCATCACACGTCACCAAGTCTGCTGGTTCGGTCTGTCAGCTCCCTGACATCTACTTTTCACTATGCTTCTTGGAGCAGTAATGCATCATGGGTTAATATTGAAACCTACATACCCAGTGTCAAGTGCCATGGAGCTCTTCTCAGGATCCCCCCTCCCCCGTCCTGTGTATCAACAGGAAGAGGCAGAAGGGGCAAGGACCTATGGAACTCATCTCACCTGGTCCTCTCTACCCTCTGATTTCAAAATGAACACAGAGGTTGTCAGGCAACACAGGACAAAGGGCAGGATTAGCTGCTTTATAAGAGGACAGCTGGCCAGTTCCAATATTAAGGGAGTGGTAGAGTGTGCTCTGTGTCTCTAGCTGCCCAAAGTGGTGAAAACTCCTTTTGTTCAGAGCAACGCGGTTGTTGCTGGGAAGCCATGGGGCTGCTGACTGGGGATGCACTGTTCTCTGTGGCCATGGCCGTGGCCATCTTCCTGCTCCTGGTGGACCTGATGCACAGACGCCAACGTTGGACTGCTCGCTACCCACCAGGCCCTGTTTCAGTGCCTGGACTTGGTAACCTACTGCAGGTGGACTTCGAGAACATGACATACTCCTGCTACAAGGTAGGGGAGCTGGTGGTACAGAGCAGCAAATGTCAGGAGACGCTCTGGAGTAATAGTGGTGCTTGAAGCCACATGCTGGACAAGGACATGGTTTTATCTGAGGAGGGAAATAAAGGATCTGTCCTGGGGAGGACTCCACCTGGGCAGCCCACACTGGACTTCCCATGAAGAGAGGAGTGGGGGGACAAAGGAGAAGTTGTGCAGGAGGGGGTAGTGTGACTGGCATCCAATTTGATGCAATAGAATTTTCATAGGACCTGAGACCATTCTGGTGAGAGCAGAGACTTGAGGCTGGGGAAGCAGTGCAAAGGAGTCCTAAGCAGCACCGGAATATAGAAATTGGTGTTGAAAGAAGTTCTATCTCTAGCATCAAATCCTTTGTCTGTCATGGGGTCACAGTCTTCTCTGGTTCTATCTGTGAACCTGAGTTTCCTTATCTGAGGAACCAGAGAGGATAAGACCCTGCTTGCACATTTCACTGACGTTTTCTGCCCTCTGCTCAGGCACTAGCTGGGTTGTCAGATCGGGTGTAAGGTGGTTGTTCTGAATGTAAGAAATGTGGCCGGAACCTGCAGACGCGAGGTGTTGGGCAGTGGTTGGCCCAGAGTGCTGGTGTAGCAAGAATGAGGCCACGAGTGCCCTCATCACTCCCATAAAGAAAAAGGAGAAGAAAACAGCGAACAGAAGAGAGAAGGAAATAGACCTGGTCTTTGCACTGCTTGAAGTGGGTCTCTGTGTCTTGGCAGTGAGGCTGGGACACACATTAAGGTAGGAGCCCCAACATCACAGGTGCCCTGTCCCTCCACCTCCAGCTGCGACATCAGTTTGGGGACGTATTCAGCCTGCAGTTTGTCTGGACTCCAGTCGTTGTGGTCAATGGGCTGTTGGCTGTGCGGGAGGCTCTGGTGCACCACAGCGAGGACACCTCAGATCGGCCCACACTGCCCACCAATGCACTACTGGGCTTTGGACCAAAAGCCCAAGGTAAATGTCAATAGGTCACAGATGACATCAGGGTATAACCCTGGGGCTAGTGACAGGTAGACAAGGCTTATTGTGCATGGTAATATGTTCAAGGGATGATGGAAATCTTTGTCTTCTGGCTACAAAGTCAGAAAAGGAGCTGTTGCATGGTAGAAACAAGATTTGTTTCGGATCAGCAGACAAGAGTGAGGGAAGGATGCATGGGCCCAGGTTAGTACTTTCTGGTCCTGACTGGAGCTCCCCATTCCAGGGGTTATTGGAGCCTACTATGGACCTGCCTGGCGTGAGCAGCGACGCTTCTCTGTGTCTAGCCTGCGCAATTTCGGCCTGGGGAAGAAGTCCCTGGAGCAGTGGGTGACCGAGGAGGCCGCCTGCCTGTGTGCTGCTTTCACCAACCATTCTGGTGGGTCATGGGTTCAGGGACACAAGATAAGGACTGCGTCAGAAGGGATAGGGAGAAAAGCAAACAGCAGGGCCTTCATTTGTGTTCCCAGGACAGCCCTTTTGCCCCAAAGCCCTGCTGAACAAAGCAGTGTGCAATGTGATCTCCTCCCTCATCTATGCACGCCGCTTCGACTATGATGACCCGATGGTCCTCAGGCTCTTAGAGTTCCTGGAAGAGAGCTTGAGGGAGAGCATCAGCTTGAAGATTCAGGTGCGGGGTTCAGAGGGCTCTACAGGGACAGCGTCCTGTATAAGGGTTCTGAGAGGATAACTTGCCTGCAAGAGGGATGTGAAGAAAGCATCAGGGAGGATCAGTGCAGGAAGAAAGGTCTGTGGTGGCAAATCAGACAGCAGTAATGGGAGAGGTGTTTGAGATTCCGGAGAAAAGTTTAGAGCCTGTGTCCACGCTGGAAGCAACACAAGCTCATGAGATTTCCATAGTAGGAGGTTCTTGTGGCAGCTCAGCAGCAGGAGGAGTTTTGCTGCTGGCACAGTGGAGGCATCGGGGCAAAGGTGTGGAGCATCAGGCCTTGGGTCACTATGGAGGAGGCTGGGTGTGAGATGACACTTGTGAGTCTGGAGCACAGGAAGCACCCAGGCTGCCTCTGTATTGTCACAGGTATTGAACTCGATACCACAGCTCCTGCACATCCCATGGGTGGCTGCCAAAGTCCTGTCTGCACAGAGGTCCTTCATTGCCTTGAATGACAAGCTTTTGGCTGAGCACAACACAGGCTGGGCCCCAGACCAGCCTCCCCGAGATCTGACTGATGCTTTCCTGACAGAGATGCATAAGGTGAGAGTGGGCTGTGAGAGAAGGGATCAGGGTCTGTGAGCCAAGTGTTCTGGCAGGTGTGAGGCCAGGTGGGTCCTCAGCATCTCCCAGAGACCCAGCACCTGTGCTGAGGGGTGGTGCATGGGGACATTTGAATCATCCCTCCCCTTTTCACTGAGGCCAACCTCTCTGCCTCTCTCAGGCCCAGGGGAACTCAGAGAGCAGCTTCAATGATGAGAACCTTCGTCTACTCGTATCTGACTTATTTGGTGCAGGAATGGTGACCACATCAGTCACATTGTCCTGGGCTCTACTCCTCATGATCCTACACCCGGATGTGCAGCGTGAGCTGGGCTCAGATGGATGGGAACTCAAGGGAGGGGAAGTGGGCACAGCTGATCCGGGAAACTCATGGTTCCCAGCTGAGGCTGGGCCAAGGCACATGAAATGTGATGTTCAGCTCAGCTGGACACAGCACTTAATGCAGGCATGGAGATTGTCAGAGTCCAGTCTCCAGGGACTGACCTGCATGGGGATACTTGTCTGTTCAGGCCATGTCCAAGAGGAGATCGATGAAGTGATAGGACAGGGGCGGCGCCCAGAGATGGCAGACCAGGCCCACATGCCCCTCACCAACGCTGTGATTCATGAGGTGCAGCGCTTTGCAGACATCGTCCCAATGGGTGTTCCCCACATGACATCTCGTGACACTGAGGTGCAGGGCTTCCTCATTCCCAAGGTAGGCCTGGTCCCTCCTTTCCTCGCATGGCCACTGCCACATGTGGCCAGGAATTGTTCTGCTACCTGGGCCCCGTTACCATTGGTGCTGCCAGGCCCTGCCTGTGTGAGTGGTGTTGCACCCAGTGCTGCCCTGTGCCCGCTGATCCCCCAAGGTAATCAGAGGATGAATTAACCCAAATGAGGAGTTGTTGGAGGATCCTATGTCCATGGGGAATAATGTGACTATGGGCGCCCTCAGGATCCCTGTCCTGTGGCCTTGCCATGTGCTCATGAATGGTCCTGAGAAGTTTCTGGGAGTAAAGTATATTTGAGAGGCTCCATATGACTTTGTACCCCACCAGACTGTGTGTACCTCATAGAGTGTGCTTGTGGTTATTAATTGTCAGGATTCCTGTGTCGTGTATCTCAAGCCACATTCATGCTGTGTGTCTCTGCCAGGGGACGATGCTTTTCACCAATCTGTCATCTGTGCTGAAGGATGAGACTGTCTGGGAGAAGCCCCTGCATTTCCACCCTGGACATTTTCTGGATGCTGAGGGCCGCTTTGTGAAACGTGAGGCCTTCATGCCATTCTCCGCAGGTGATTGTAGTGGACCATCTTTTCTCTCCCCTTCCTGGGTGTTAAAGTGGGAAGAGGTTTAGGATGGAGTCTCATTGATCCCTGCCCCACCTACAGGCCCCCGCATATGCCTTGGGGAGCCCCTGGCCCGCATGGAGCTCTTCCTGTTCTTCACCTCCCTGCTGCAGCGCTTCAGCTTCTCGGTGCCTGAAGGGCAGCCCCGGCCCAGTGACCGTGGTGTACCTGCCTTCGTAGTGCCTCCATCCCCCTATCAGCTCTGTGCTGTGCTCCGCTAGAGGATGCGCCGTGCCCCACTGTACCCTAGATAAGTTACTTAAGTTACAATAAACCCATCTGTGACTTGCCTGGTATCTGTGTTGATTCCTCCTTACTTAAAGCCCACATGTGATGCTTTCATCCACGTGTCTAAAGCCAGTCCTGATTCCTGGCCTCCATGTCACCCATGGTGACCCAAGACAGGCTGCTGAGTTGGTGGGAATCCCTAAGCAGCAGTCTGAGCTCCCTGAGTGTCAAGTAGGTGCTGAGCATTTAGGAGTTTCTCTCAGGAATAAATACAATCCGTGAAAGGGTGCTAGATGATGTTGGAGATTCCCAGGGTTCCAGGTTCAGTGAGTAGCTAGAAAATACAGTAGACCTGGCAATGTTCTTATGCTGGTTGTTAAGATTTATTACAGTGATACAATGCACATGCAAATCAGCAGCACTGAAAGGCACAGTCTTGGGGTCCAGAAAGTCAGATACAAGATTCAGCAGTGCTGTCTGAGGAGAGCACCCAGATGGTCAGTTCTCTGAGCCACACAGTATACTTGACACAATGGGTACAACTTACCAGGACACAGTCCAGCCATGGTGTCTGGGGATTTTCTTGAGGTGCATACCATAGGCACAGTGCACCGACATGGCCGACCTCAGCAACTCAGTTTACGTTCACTCTGGGTCATATTGAAGCAGTTCAGGGCCCACTTAGGCCAGGCTGCTGGTATAAATGCTGAGATTTGCTCACAGCTCCTCCAGGATCATCTCAGGAGGAATCTGTGAAAGCCTTAGGGAAAGCTTCCCTGCTGCCCACCAGGATTTAAGCACTTGCTTTGGCATATGCAGGGTTCAACGCAGGGGCCTTCCATGGTGATTAAAGCACAGTCCTGCCCCGGATTTCTGCAGCAAAGTGCTCACAGTCATATGAGTATCCTTATGACTTCATTTCTTCATGGAATGACACCTAGCAAACTTTAGCATTTTCCTCTACTACTTTTTCTTTTTTGCTCATGCTGAGGGTCAAACTCTAAGCTTTGTGTGCAGCCAGCAGATGCTCTGCCAGTGAGCTCCACTTCCAGCCTCACCTTACCCATTTTCCAGCATCTGCAGTGCTGTCACAGGTGTTAATAATGGACAAAGAGCTCACCGACCACCCGCAGCTGTCTTCACCACGGAAAGCTGAAGCCCTCAGCCCCTCACACAGCAGCGCCTGTGCCCTCCTCGCCACCCCTTGGCAAGCACCACCCCTGTATCTGTGAAAATGATATCCATAGGGAAGTCATCAAAGTGGAATCCTGTCTGTGTGTCTGTTTGACTGACTTATTCCGCTTGAGGGAGCGTCTTCAGGTTTCCTTCCTGTTTCGGCAGATAGCAGTATGTCCACCCTTTTTAAGCCTAGTTATTTTCCACTGCGTGACTTTGTAGGTATCGTCTTGTTCCTGCGTTTTCTTTTCCTGGGCTCATTTAAAAGTGACAGTGCATCATCTGAAAGTCTTATGTGAAAATTTCAAAATAACAATTTGTGAATTTTCAATTGTGAGCCTCACTGATGAGCCTTATTAATAACATTAATCTTCCTCCATGTTGTTCACTAAGAGCCTGTATACCTGTGTCAGGCACGTGCTTGCCCTGCTGGCCGCGGACCTGTCTGTCTCTTGGCTGTGTGAGCAGCTGTTTCCGTGTCACGGTGCTGGTTTGAAGGTGGACAGTGCGGAGCAGCCGTAGGCCGTGGCACAGTGCCTTCCTCTCACCAGGGCGCTGAGCAGCACAGCAGGCAGCCAGGAGAAGTGCTGCAGCACAGGAGAGACCGGATGTGAGAGCCCGCATCACACACACTCGGTGTGGCACACTGCTACACTGTCCTCCTGGCCTGGTTATACACCACCTTCTTCCTGGTGCATATGTGAGGGAGACACCGTAGTGTATGTACAATCGGTTGTGTCTGCCCAGATGGGAACCAGCTAGCTGGGGTCTTGGGGGTGCTCCCACCTCCGAGGGTGACTGCTGTCCCAGTTTTCTTCCTCCAGCCCTCTGTGGATGCACAGTCGTCTTGCCTCCATTCCTGTATCACAGTGAAAGCTGCCACAGTGGTCCTGGGTGTGCACTGACACTCGCAGAATGCACTGCGCTTCTTGTGGGTGTGAGCTGAGAAGGGCAGCTTCTGAGTAGAGGAGAATTCTCTTTAGTTTCAGGAGAAGCCCCCTGCTGTATCCCACATGGTGCCTTTACCATTTGAGGGTCTCATGGAGAGCCCCAGCCTGCACGCCTGCCTACCCTTGTTTTCCGTCGTTCTCTCACAGGGGCCATCAGGATGGGTGTGAGTGTTTTCATTTACACTGTTCTGATAATGAGGACACTGAGCATCCTGTACTGTGCTCATGGGGCGTACTGTATAGTTTCCTTGGAGAAATGACAATTCAGACTCTGCTCATTTTTAAATTGAACGATGTCATTTTTGTTGTTCTGTAATATTCTGCTATTAACATTTTGTCACATATGTGACTAATAGTTGTTTTTCTCCATGCTATGGACTGCCTTTTCCCTCTGTTGATGGTGAGTTTTGATGGACAAAGCTGTAACTTTTGTGAAGCATAATCTGCTTTCCCTTTCTTGCCTGTGCCACTGATGTCCCATCCAAAGTATCACTGAGCTCAGGGAAGAGTTTGCCCTCTTCTACTTTGTGCTCATGCAACTTGCTCTCTGATCTGTTTAAGGACAGTCTGTGTGTGTGCTGCCAGCTGAGCGCTGTACTTCATTCCTGTCCCCAGAGATGCATGGATTTCCCAGCACTGATTCTTGAAAGACTGTTCTGTCCCCATGCAATGAAAATCACTGAGCCTTTTTCAGTCAAATGATGAGTGTTGGCAGTACCTTTGGAGAACACTATTTCCTTCTAGTACCAAAGCATGGGTTCCTACAAACACAGGTGGTGTAACCTGCTCTGCTAAGGAGGCTCGATGGTGGAGCCTCCTGCTCTTAGGCTACCAACTAGTACAGTGTGTTTTTGTCCTCAGTGTTTTAGGGTTAGGGTTAGGGTTAGGATGTCCAAATGCACAGGTATGAAATTATGAACCTTAGAAAGCAGCCTACTCAAAATGGGTCAAAGCCCTATGAATTCCAACTACGAAGCTTACAAAAACTCATGGGACAAAATCCACATGGGGATTGGCTATGTTGTACTGGCTAGGACATCAACAGCTCAGAGCAAGAAAGAAAAATTGGACTTCATGTGTATTAATATCCACTATGCCTCCAAAGTCACTATGGGCTACAGCCACATCACCCTGAATGTGCTCGGTCTCATCTGAAGTCACTATGTACAATGGAAACAGGCTATTAGGTTTGTATACCAAGTGTTACCTGGTAATGAGGATCAGACTTTAGAGGGATGGCTGAATATTTAGTGATTGGATCACTGTCTAGTGCTTGGGTAAGCAATATGAAAGCTATACGTACACTAGGGTGGGTAGTTCCTACAATATAAGGTAGGAAATAAAGCCTGCCCACCACTTGATCTTGCTGTCTTATCCACCATGAACTTCTGTTGACATAGATTTTTGTGTCTCTAGGAGTTTGTCTATATTTAACTACAGAATTGTTTAAAACACTCTTGGATTTCTTTTTCTTTTCACAGAATCTGTAATAGCATCCCCTTTCAAGTCTGATCTTTGTTGTCTTCCCTCCTTCTTATCCCACTTAGCAATAGGTTCATCAGTCTTGTTGGTGTTTTTCAAGAACCAGTTGTCTCGTGATTTTTATATGTTGTTTTCTTACTCGGTTTTCATTCTCTGTCTGTGTCTCTGTGTTACTGGGTGTTGCATCCAGGGAGCACTGACCTATATCCCTGTCCCCCACTGCACACAAACCCCTTTTGAAACAAGTCCACGCTAAGTTGCCCAGACTATACTTGAACTTGCAACCCTTCTGTCTCATCCTCCCTGTCTGGGTTAGCAAATGCACCTATTGAATTTATGTCTTATGTATTTTCTTCCCTGTGTTAGCTTTGGGTTTTATATGCTGTTAGTTTTCTAGCTCTTTAAGGTCTATAGTTCAGTTTCTGGTTTTAATTTTGTTCCTTTTTAATGCAAGTATAGGCAGTTGTACATTTTGCCTCTGATTCCTACTTTGCTGCATTTGATGTGTTTTGTATGCAGTGCTTTCCTTCCCATCCAACTCAAGTTATTTTCTGTTCTTCTTTGAGCCATTGGTTATGTAAGGATTCCCTGATTCATTGCCACATCTCTGTCAGTTTTCCTTCTGCTGACTTCACACTTCTTCCATCATGGCCAGAAAATAGTTTTATGTGAGTCCCAATTTTTAGCAGCATATTTAGATCATTTTTGACCTGCTGTTTGGTCTGTTGTAGAGAATGTTTTGTGTGCCTTGAGGAAGATGTTTCCTGCAATTGTTCGACAGCGTGTTCCGCATCTATGTGTGAGGCTTGAGTCAGAATAGTGTTGTCCAAATCCTGAATTTGCATCCTACTTACAGTTGTTTAATCCAATACAGACAATGGGTTAATACAGGATAGAAATTATGTGTTTTTGCTGGACTAGACTTTTTCCCAATGCATGATCTTTTTTTCTTCAAGTCTCTTTGGCCTCACATCTATGACACTGATTCATTCATGTCAGATCATTTGTGGTTCCTGTTTGGATGGAATATTGTTTCCCAAGCTTTTACTATCGACTTCTTTCTTTTTATTGAACATTCTAGGCCTTCCCATGAAGCAAGCCTAGTTGTGCTGAGGGGGAAGAGCCTCAGGCAGAAGAGAGACCACGCCTTCCTGTGAGCAAACCAGTGCGCAGGCTGAAAAGCAGAAGAGCATCCCCACCCTGCCCCACTGACTCAGAGCACTCAGGGTGAGATGACAGCCACTGAGGGGAGGGAACAGCTTGGTGCTGGTGCTGTTTGGTTGACTCTGTGGGCTGGGCTAGTTGTCTGTGCATCTGCTTCAAGGATGGCCATGCACATCTGTGAGCTGTATGGGATGGCCTCATATTTTGTTTTTGAAATCCAATGTCTTGTTCCATTTTACTGTTTTGTTTTGTCCCTACGTCTGGTAACTTAGGCGCTATTTTAAAGATAACAGTGT